GAGAGTACACAAACCTTGAGTTTACTTCATATCTTTTCATACTTAATATCATGCAAAGGAAATGACAGTTTTCTGATATACTCAATTACAGATTACAATTAACTGATTGCAGAAGATACAATGTCTATATTTGAGATCAACAGGCAAAATATCTATTCATCTTATGGGATAATATGAAAATAACAAGGAGAATTAGTGATAATCAGGTATATATACTTGGACTTTGTGAAACTGTAAATATAAAAGTATAACTTAAATGACCAAAAATGTGATTAAAATAAGATGCTGCTTAACATTTAGTGAGATATTTCACAATACATCTCAGTCACTTAGCTTCATAGCCTAACAACCATTTTATTTCTTCAGCCGCTCCTTCAATATGAGCTAACTGAACATCTACTACCATAAAAATATACCTATGAACACACAAAGGTAAAAGGTATCGAATACGATTATAAGCAAATGCAATAAACATACAAATGAATTACACTCATGTCACAACATGTTTATACATCTACCAACACCACATTACAAACATCCTCACTTAAAAAATAGTTTTCACCTCTTTTCACCTATGTAAACCACAATAACAAGAACTTTGTCATCTTACACATGGCCTCGAACAAAATGCTTGGTCGTTCACCACCACTTCTACTCAGCACAGAAACACAAATGCCCAGAGAGGAGAATAAACCTCACAAGACTGATGATGACATTGCCCCTCACTCAACCAATACAAAACAGGCAACATGCACATGTACACACGCCTGCACACACACACTCGCGCATCTATCAAAATGCCAGCCCCCACGCCATTAAGAGCACTCAGTCTAGACTGACATATCTCAAGAGATGGAAGGACCCAATGCAAGTGGATTGCTGCCTGCACTGCGCAGGCTTCCTTCAAAGGAGTGTCTGGGGATCCCTAACAACAAAACACAGCAGTATGCAAAGGTAGACAATCATGAAATATAATAACTATAAGCAATTACTGCACATAGGCATAAGGCAGTATAGATAAGCAGGGAGACTGAAAATACAAATGATAACATATCTAAGCGATTATGAGTATACAAATATAAAAAATACAAATATATGCAATTCAGTTACTTGTATTCTACACAGTACTGAATCTCGATACCTCACCTCGAACAAATACTTCTGTACAACATTGACATATATCTTTATAATCTATTGTACAAAGTTGAGTCACCTCACATAGGCATTTTTATTTACTGACAACCTAATACTTTTGGCAGAGGCATTTTTACGTATATGTGATCAGACTTCGGTGGTGGAACGGTTAGCATGGCTCGATCACCGCTCTGAAGCTTTATTGGTTCACGAGTGTAAGTTGATACTATATCATCTACCGAAGAGAATGTCTGCAAAATAGAAACGAATAAATTTGATGATGCATTGCTAAATGAACAGCTTCATTTTGATTTTCATTTCATATCTCTATCACCGTAACATTTCTGATGGCAATTGCAATCCTTTGAATTGTACAGGTATATTTAATAGTTCATCTAAAATATTGCAGGTTATTTCTAGAATAGTTCATGAATTCTTATCCTGTTACTACATCTTGACTTGATTCAGAAATCCAGATATATCGTCACCAAGGAATGGGCAAACATATATAACACTTATTATAACATTTTTGTGTCATCTGTTACTTCTATTACAATGACTTATGGGAAAAATGTGTTCTCATTATGGAATTACTACTTATCCGGAATACAATACTACACCTATGAATTTATCTTCAACTACGGCCACTACACTTACCATCTCATTAGTTTTCTCAGAACCAAGAGCAAAAAGCCCGTCAGGGCGACATCGAATGTTGATATTATAAGTGCGGCTCCTGTACCGGAGACAAAGGGTGAGTGGATCACTGGAACGTGTTGAAGGACGTATGAGAAACACACCATCTTCGGCTGCAATAAAAGTTTAGTAAGAGACATTGGATGATTTTTCTTTCTTGGTCATACACTATTACAGTCAACATGATATGCCCTACCTTTCTCAAGCAACTCTCGGGACTTGTTACGAGATATGATGTGGAAGTAAGGACGGTCAAATATGCTGCGGTAGAGCGGGGTTAGCTCCACCATTCCTCCGTCCTCTCGAGGCACCCGCTCTGCCCCTGGCTTCGGGTGTCCCCCAATGCCCGCACTTGCCCCTGTGTAGCCAGGTACTGCCGGCGCCATCTCTGTGGGCGGGTGGTCCAGGTACTGTGGATTTGATGGATGCACATGGGGCTGCGAAGGTCGATTGTACTGCTTGGGAGTCTGTTTCGGGATCGGGGGTGGTGGCAGGGTAGGGAGCTGAGGCGGCTGGGGAACACCATTCTGAGGTCGTATTTGGCCTAAGCCATGCGTTGGTGGGGGAAGCTGGTGTGGGGGAGATTGGCTGCCCCCGGTGCCGCGCCTTCCTGCGTCCCTTGCACCTGTGGAAAGCAAATTCCCAGTTAATTACGTCGTCTGACCTCCAGTCAAAATGTAAAATCTAGGCTTTCCATCATTTACCACTCAATACTTTCAATGAAAGCTAAAACTCGAGAGTATAATTCTACAAATATTCTTGCAAAAATTTCTAAACAGAAAAATCTAGGAAAATGGTAAAAAAATACAACTTTGTTAATACAGTTATGGGAATTCAGACATCAGAACAAATTCATTAGATACACGAGATATCAGCTTCGTAATCAAACTAGATTCGTTGACAGTGCAATTTTCTGTTCAAGTGTTTCCACTGCTACAAATCACGCGATGCGATTCACGTTTTATTCTTAACTGATCAGTCAGTGATATTCATATATTCCAGTTGGTCATAAGTGATGTACACAGATCGTATGGTACATAAGCGAGGTACTATACGAAATGAAACAGCCAATTGGCAAGTGGGAATGTCAATTAACTTAAAACCATTCACTATCTCGCAACTGGTGTTACTACTGTGACCATTATATCATACTGATTATAACCAAATAATTATGAATTACTCTGATCCACTTCCATCATCAGTTTGTCACTCTATGGTGTTGATATTCTTCTAATAATCATTTATTTCCCATCCGCATGCAATATTTCCATTTCGTCTTGTTGATTGCATAACATGGGTGATGTCTAGCATATAAAAAAAATAATTTACAAGCTCTTGTACAATTACACTTGTCACTTGTTTCTACTTATTTTTCCACGATAATAAATAAGTTAATAGGTTTCACTAGAAAATAATATTTTCCTTCATCGATTTCTAATACATTTTTGGTCTTTTTTGGAGTACCTCGATAGTGCCAAGGTATTAACATCATTAAGAACATATTCATATTTTCAGTTGTTCAATACCGAGAAAAGGTGTCATTATCATTTAATTTCTTTGACAAATTAAGAGTCGTTCCTAAAAACAATTTTTATTCCAAAATTTGTCTAAGGCTCGGTCTAAATCTGTCCTTAGCAATTTTGTCTGTGACTCGTACGGTTTCCACATTTATAACTAATATTTAGATTTTTGAAGACCCTATCGTAATAATAGATAACATTACTATTACAGTGAATATAATGACTATGATATCATATATTTAATATATTTCATATGTTTACATGACATTCTCTACATTTGTTATGAATGCGTCAGTTTGCATTTTTCGGCTAGAAAACTGCAGTAAACAAGGAAGAAACATCCCAAATGGTGTTTGACAATAAGTAAAGAGATTGCTGTCGGCGTCTCATCAGGACAATTGAAGGATAGTTCTTTCGCGCGTGGGACACCTCCAGGGCTGTCATTAGCCTAGTCCTAGACAAAAAATCGGACTGTCTTTAAATTGCTCTTATGATATGCCGACAACAATACGATTTTACAGTCACTGAAGACACTCCACGATATAAAGATATGGAAATCCTTATTCCACTTTTTTACTTATTGTCAAACGTTGATTGGGCCGTGTCCTCCAACAGTTTTCTCATAGCGGCTTCGCAGCAGACGCAATCATGACAAATGCAGGAGGTGCCACTCAAACATCTAAAATATATTAGTCATTATATACTAGCTATTTATTGTAATAGCAATCTTTTAAATTACATTAGCTTATTTTTATAGGGTTTTCTAAAATATAAATGTTAGTTCTAGTTAAGCTTTAACTTTGAAATGCACTAGTGCAAGTCAATGACGAAGTCGCTAAGGTCAGTCTTTCGACAGTCACATATAAATGAAATCACGATCTTTCAGTCAAAGACAGTCTTTGAAGAGAGCCCTTCAATTTGTCAAAGGAAATTCTATGACCTTTCGGGAATACCGCCCCAGGCTTTCATTTGGGAAGACAGTGGTTATGGCAAGCAGCAGCACCTTTTCAAGTCGTCATTTACTTAAACCGAGGATGAATATGCAAAGATCGGAAATCGGAAATAGGTTTTCTGAAGAAAACGTGACCAGATTTATTTTTAGTAATAAAAATTACAACCTGAGCAGGGTATGGAGAGTAAAAACTGTCAAATGAGATTTTTAAACCTGAAAGTTTTACATTCTCATATTTTCATTCTTCATCTATATTTCATTCTTAATTCTCTTAAATCAAAATGTGTGTATCTAAACATAAAGATATACTAATTGGTTTTAGTGCAGTAAAGAACCAACTGCTTATTTTTTTTTCCTGGACATTCTCCAGCCTATGCAGAGCGGATACGCAAAATATATATTCTATCACTAGTATAATCTATCTTCTGGTGTGGGCGAGACGGTGGATATGCTTATCATTCCTTTACTTAGTCGTTTGGTGCAGTTCTTGAACCAGAGGCCATAGGAGACCGAATAAGGTACGTAGAATTTTAAATATGTTTTTCTTAGTTTAATTACGTTACTTTATACTGAAAAAACGATATCCATGGTACAAGTCCTATACTGAAAGTCTCTTTTACGTAGCTACTGCAAAGATAAGAAAACAAATCTAGTTGAGTTAGCCCTTTTTCAGTACAAACAATGAAAAATGAACTTCTACCTTGTTTTACTACTGTTCAACTCAAGGGCAGAAGTCACTCAGGGTTCTTCAAGTGAGGGAATCTTATAGTATTTTGATACGCAATTCCAGAACTGAATTGCCATATATAGTAACACTAAATTTCCAGCAACAAACGCATCAATATGGACACATAAAGCAACAACAAATATCATTACTTCTCTGGCTATCATTTCTGCTGCCACAGCAATCGCATCAAAAGCAAGCTCTCCAATGCAACATAAATACATAAATAATCATCCAATCTGGTTTAACCGAGTCACCATCAAATCCATCACCATCACGCTATCTTGGAACACTAATGTGAATGACAAGGAACAATAGGAACAAAGGAAAAATAAAGAGGTGAATAATAGAGGGGTGGGGCAAGGTAAAGTGGTGAAAATGTTATGGTAAGTGAACTCAAAAACATATTTGTGATTTTATTTTTATATTTTTGTATTTTATTTTTATTTTTATGCTGGAAAAAAAAACAAGTGAACAGGAATTATTATTATTGTTATTAATATTTAACGAATAACAAGAAAGATTTTTGTTTGATTTTTATTTTTATTATTATTATTTTTTTTTTCATTTAACCCATTCCCGCCGGGCATGCCATGCCATGGCCACTGTGAGATTACTTGTTAGATTGTTTTCACACATAGATGGCTACACTTGTACTAAATCCCCAATGAGCCAGTTACGAGTACCGCCTGTCTCGCCCGTTCACCCTTTTCTTTGATTTACGAAATATTTTACGTTATCTTAATTTGCTGTTACTTATGTTAAAAAACATTATAAAAATTACAATGTTTATGATAAAAATAACACCATCGATATTCATGGCACTAGTGAAAAATACATTTTTCCCGCCATTTCAAATCAGGCGCTAACAGAGCCATCTATGGGCAGACATCTAACAAAAAAGGATAGAAAATAGGCACAGCATTTTCCCCATTTTTTTTTTCATTTTCCCCGGCGGCAATGGGTTAATTGTATTACTCGTTTTATTTGATATTTGAACAAGAACAAGTAGTACTTTTTATGGATTTTATTTTTACTTTACGGTTGAACAAGTGAACAAAAAAAAAAAAAAAAAAAAAAAAAAAGATCTTATTCATTTCTACTTTTTAGTTGATTTTATTTTATGTACTTTCATATTGTGTTTTTATTAGATGTAGCAGAAACAGAAATAACATGGAGAACAAAAATGGATGAAGGGGAAAAGGCACTAAGAAAGTAAAAGAAAGAGGGTGATGATATGGTGAAATGGGTGGTATAATAATAATGATGAAAGGGATATGTTACTTTGGAACCGAATCAAATATACGAGTTATCATCTGATGGGGAATCGACTGCTGTGACAACTGGGTCTGACTTCCGAAGAGGGAGGGGACGAAAGGAGAGCATGAAATAAATAGGTAAATTAATTGCATAAAATAATAAAATATAATGGTGATATGGGTAATAGCAACAAAGAAACAAAAGCATTAAAACAACAAACAATAAAACCAGTAAACGAGAGAGAAATGGTGCAAAAGAAACGAACGAAAAGCAAAGTAACAAAGTGACTGTAAATATTTACAAACTATTGGCATAAACGGTGTGGTGTTTGAGAACACAAAAGACGTAACATTAACAATAAAAGGCAATTTTTTTTCTTTTATATGAGTATTATTTTTGTCGTGTTTTGTTTTTCTCTCCCTTTTTTCCTTAGAACATCTCCATCCTGCTCATCCTCTGACTCGCGTGTTTGCCTTATGCGACTGCACGAGTGCACTCCCATAATCACAGGCAACCGAGTCCATAGCAAGTTTGTAAGATGTTCAGTCCTTGAAATTTCTCCGTTTATAGTTCGTCAGCGCTGATCCCACGACCACTAGGCGAGCCGAGGCGGGCAAAGTGACGAGCCGTGGTAATCAATTGCGATTTGCGAAGTTCTAGCTTCGCCCGGGCCTTCTGGCTATGGCCCGGCCTGTGTCAAGTTTTAATGGCTGTCTCATTTTGTCTTCTGCACTTGGCGGTGGGATTGCCAGCTGGCGCTCCTGCCGCCATGGTGTAAGCGTATCGCATAGCCTCTTTACCAGCACGGCGGCTGTTGTAGGCGGTCCCTGTCTCAGGAATTGTGTATGCTCACAATTCTCTAAGTAATGTACGAGTGTGGCGTTCGGATCGCCGCAGTGCATGCAACACCTCTCTTCACGGTCTATGGTCTCAATTATCTGCCACGCACAGTGGAAACCTAGGCGCATCCTGTGAAGAATGACTTCGGTACCTCTGTTGATTATTTCAGAGAGTGCTAGTGGTTCATAGCCTGTGGCGTCTGAGTACCAGCTGGCCGCGGGGGAGGATCTCGTTTCCTCTCTGTGAAGCTGCAGGAGGAAGGTTCGGGCGACACCAGTACACTTCCCCCTAGGTAATTTTCGGCTTTGTCTTATGATCATGGGATTAGGGGGTAGTAACAGCTCTGCCAAAGTTATACCTTCGAGAGGCGTCATGGTGGCCAGCCCTCTCTTCTGAGGGTAACTTCTGGTTTTATTTATTTATAGCTTTAAACATGGAAATATGGCGGGATGGTTATAGCTCAAGTGTTATATGGGTGCGTGCATTGGGAGAGGTGTTATGTATTGTATGAGTTTTAATGTTCTGGGCCACCAAGCGTGGTTTGTGCGTGTGTTTGTGTGTTTGTCTATGATGTTGTGTAGTGTTCGTCTCTTTGTTTGCGTAGTCGGGGCCCAGGTGTTTCTAGCTCGTCTGTTGTATGCGTGTTAAGTGGTTTCTATGCTGTATGTTCTGTGTAGTGTTTCTACTACTGATTGCATTTTGAGTTTTTGTGATTTAAAGATTGCAACCAGTGGCACAGGTTGTATTCAAGAATAGGTCTGACAGTTGTTTTGTAGAGTCTGAGCTTTGTTTGTGGTGTGCAGCATGAGAAGCGTCTGAGTTTGATGAGTGTTGTGCGTGAAAGTGAAAGCCAAGAATGTTTCCTCTGTTTGTGCACGTTGGTGTTGTTGGTTGTAATGGGTTGTGCAGTGCTGCGTGCTATGTGCATGAGTTAGAATTTGTTGATGTTTATTTGTATTTTTCAATGGTGATCAAAGGTGTTAATGTTCTGTATAGTTCTTTCTGTTGTTCGTTTCATGATGTGTTGTGATTTAGAGGTGTGAGATTATCTGTGATATCGTCTGCATAGGAAATACAGTTGCTGTAAGGTGTAGGTTGTGGCAGATGGCTGTATACAGGATATACAGGGTTGGTAAAAGAACACTTCCCTGTGGTACTCGACTTCTGAGGTGAAGGGGAGCGCCCAGGTGTGAGCCCAGGCATATTGTGGCAGTCCTATGGTCCTGGAAGCTGCATAGGAGGCGTGTGAGGTATGTAGGAAGTGTGTGTTAATTTGTATTTGAGGCCGTCATGCCAAACCTTATCAAGGCCTTGCTGACGTCTCGTAGTATAATGTTGATCTGGTGCTTGTTTAGCGAGACGAGAGCAATCTCCTCGTAGGCGAGGGCGATAGCGCCCCTTGTATGGGCGAAAGCCGTATTGCTAACTGTTGTGTTTGTTGTTGTTTTCAAGTGTGTGACGAGTCTGTGTGTTATTAGCCTCTCTAGCAGTGTTTCCCGGGAACTTCCAGCAATGAGATGGGGCGGTAATTCTCCACCTAATGTGCTGACTTCCCCGACTTTTGGAATGAAGGTGATGGTGGTGTGTTCAAATTTGTCGGGGAAATATCCTGTAGCCAATGCCGCATTAAAGATATGGCGTAAGCTGCGGATCAATATGGGTGGCAGATGTTCTATGATTGTTTTGTTTATGTTGCTTGCTCCTGGTGTTGTGTTATTGGTGTGTTTGATGGTGTTAATTATTTCTTCTGGTGCGATAGGTGTGGAGAGGGGACTGTCCTCTGTAAGATTGTTAGTCTAATGCTTTTTACTGAAGAACTGTGTTTCTGTGTTGGTGTAGATAGTGTGCTACCTCGGTCTCTGTGGTGTTTGGAATTGATTTTGAAATTCTGTTGCCAGAATTCCCTGTGGAGAAGCTCCATCTCCTCCAACGAGTCAACCTTCCGTCTGTGTGCGTTGTACAGGTATGTGGTGGTCTGTTTGTTCGACGCCGTGAGCATTTTGAAGGAGCTCCAAAATTTCTTGGGGTCTATGGTGTTTTGACATAGTCTCTGTGCTAGTGATTCCCAGTGTTGTTTATTCATTACTTTAATTTCGTGTGTTATTTGCGTTTGGAGTTCTATGTATTGTGTGCGTAATTGTGCGTCCCAGCCCCGTGTTACTGAAAGGTCGTGTAAGTGCCTGTATTGTATTTTAAGCAATTTCAGACGATGTGTTTCTCTGTAGTGAGGGATTGTTCTGTAAGTTGTTTGGGGAATGTTGGCCTGCTGGGCCGTCTGTATGTCTGTGTACTACTGTTCAAGGTGGGTGTTTATTGTGTGTGTAGGTTGCCCCTCGAGATCAATTACTTGTGTCTTCAAGTGCTTGTTTGAAGCCCTTCCAGTTTGCATGTTTGGAAGATTCTCGGGTTGTGTTGGGATCATGATAGCGTTTGTTGACAGTGTTAGGATGACGGGAGGTGGTCGCTGGATGTGATATCGGTCTGTTGTCATATGGTGGTGTAAGTGTGCTCTGTGGTTTGCAAGGACTATGTCGGGTGTTGTTGCTGTGTTATGGGTAACGTATGGTCGGTGTGTGTGGACCCGTGGTGTGTCAGTCTGCCTTATTGTATGTATGAGGCAAGGCCTCTGCCTATATTGTTCGTGTGATTGTAGCCAAATAGTGGGTGGTTTGTATTACGGTCTCCCATGAAATATATTGGTTTATTATGCCTCAGGAGCTGCAGGATGTTGGGTTCTGGTATGTATGGTCTATGTGGGGTAGGTATAGTGTTGCCAGTATGATGGGTCCTTGTGGTGTGTTTATTTCGACGGCCAAGAGGTCTGAGTGGAAGCTGTTGATGACTTTGTGTTGGATGTTGTTTTTGATCGCTATAGCTACGCTATGTTCTTGTGACTTGTTGGAAGAATAGAATGCGTAAGTGTAGATCTTTAGTGGATTAGCGTTACTGAGCCATGGCGGTTTAAGAGGATGATATGTGGGTCGTGTTTTCTGTAGGTGTTGCAGAGTTCGTTTTTTCGTGTTTTCCAGTGTAAGACGTTGTGTTGTATGATGGATGAGGGGTGAGTGTAGTGTGTTAAGTAATATGTGTACTTTTTTTATGTTGTGTCATCTATGAGGTGTCCATGGGTATTTTGCGTATCTTATCGTATTGTTCGATTTTTGTTGTTGTCAATGTGTATATTACCTTCCATGAGGTGTGCATGTATGTTTTGAGCTATAACCATGTTATGATGCTCTGCTTTGATCATGAGCCACTTGATGCGTTCCTTTTTATTTCTTGCCCGATTTCCTCTCTTCTATGTGTATTTATTAGGGGAAGATCTTGTGGCGGATGTTTTTGGTGTTGCTCCTTAGGAGCTGTCACAGGGGTGGTTGGGAGATCTGGGGGGGATCTTCATCAATTGCTTGTCCAGGGCGATGTCATGTGATGACTCCCCCTGTGACTGTGGCTGGTGGTATCTGGAGATTTTACAGGGGGTTGTATGATATTTAAAATGCCCCGGGAGTCGGCCTCCCCCAGATCAAGCTCAGGAGGGTTATTCAAGCTAGGGCTACTTTGACATGGTGCCTAAAGCCCTTCTCAGGGGCAATTAGATTCTGCAGATGTGCGTGGAGGACTATCATGATCTCTTTGGAGAGACCATTTTGAAGGGCCAAGTGGACTGGTGGGTTCTGTTTTTGTGGCGCTGGTTTGGATGTCCTGGCGGGCTTGGTTAATAAGGGCTTTCCAGGCATTGGTAGTTGACTGGACCGTCTCTTGCGCTGCCTTTTGCGCCACAACTTTAAGAGCCTAGATTCCTTTTATTTCTTTCTTTCTTTTTCTTTCTCGTGTGATGTCTTCATTACTTCCTTTCGTACACGGCAACAGTTGGCGAACATGCGGTGATCACCACCGCAGTTAAGGCATTTCTTGACACTGCTTTAGCAGTCCCTGTACGAATGAGTGTGCGAACCGCATTCAGAGCACCTGGCTTTCCTTATCTCCTTGCATTGTTTTTTTTTAGATGGCCGTAGCCATAACAGTTCATGCACTGCCCTGAGTGGAGTGAAGCGCTCACAACTCAATTTGCCAAGGAGCAACAAAGAGGTTGCTGAGGTAAATACCCTTTCTTTGATCTTCTTGGCGGCCTGATCTGAGAAGCGGACTTTTAGGAAGTAGGATGTCATGACATACACGTTTTCGACACAGGTGTCGGGAGCAGCTGCCATGATTTCGTTGGCAATGGCTGACTCTGGTTCACTGACCACGTGTCTGCCAAGTCTCTTGAATACAAAGGTGAGCTTGGCCTTCATGTCAATGGGGAGCACAGGAGTGAACCCCAGGTTCTAAACAGATCGATTGTTGTGGAAGAGAAATTCGTTGGGCATGTTCGTCGTCATCAATGAGAGCAAGATATCCTTCATGGATCTGGTAGTACCGAAGTACACTGATGTTGCATCAAAAAGAGCCTTTTCGAGGGCGTCTCACCGGTTAGGGCCGGGGCCGCCTTGGGAAATGATCTTAACCTTGATCATTTTACATGAGTGACATGAGGTGAGATGAGGGGATGAGGGTGATTAGGAGAGAGATGGGAAAGTTAGAAAGTTTAGAGGTCCTAAGCTCGTACCCCTCTAGTGACAGCCTGGTGGTGTTCTCCAAACACTAGAGCATCGGGAGTTATGTGATGGGCTACTCCCTTGCTGCCAATCCTTGCTACAAAGGGACAGTAGGTGAGGGCGCACCACCCAGACAAATACAAAATCCTAGGGGGATTTAATGTGGGTCAGATGGCCACAAGAAAGGGAAGACGTTTAGTAGACTGCTGGGCCTCATTATACAGGTTTCCCTGTGATAGAGAGTACTGCGGGTCACCGTCAAAATGGCAAAGGAAAGATTCGCTGAGGGTAGTGGCAAAAAGGCAAGTCTCTGAAAACAGAGAGAATTGACTTGACATTACATTATAGAGAGGAACTAATATTCAAGAAGACGCGGCGCGATTGAGGCCCCGGCCAGAACAGGGTGCTCACTGACACGAAAATGCGCTTTGTTATTACTTGCACTCTCTTAACATTAGGCTGGGTGATCGTGTCACCAATAACAAGGCGTTATCTACAAAAACTTTATCTACAATTTAGTGCAAATACTTTGTGACACATTAAGCACTATGCCGGAGCAGGCCAGCCCAGGGCAAATGCCATGCACCTGACTCCGGCGATAACAGGATGTAGCTGGAGAAGCAAGCCTGTAGGGCCGCCGCAGGGGGCTACGCCCTGGGCAGGGCAAAGGGAAGGAATGGCCAGGGTCCCCAGAACAGACAGAAACGAGTCCAGGCCGATACAAGCAACACTTTCCTCCTCTTGCCTCGTAGAAAGCCGACGCCAATCCGCAAATC